AATTAATATTTAAACTTTTATTAAGAATTTTAAAAAACACAGGCAAATTTGCCTGTGTTACAGACGAAGGGATAGGACGTATATAGGCGTTGTAAAACGTCTTTTCCCACTCCACGTCTATCCCACGCAAAGTATATTAAAGGAAGCCCTTAAGAGCTACCTTACCGAAAACTTCACCGTAATTTTTTATCTTAATACTGTTATTGTATTTTGGAACGCTGTTCCAGAGCAGGGTAATACTAAAAAAACACCTTTCAGGTATTTTTTTGATTCTGGTATTACACTGCTCTGGAACAGCGTTCTGCGTTGCAGAACTAGATTAATCTAATAAATATATAGCAAATATATTAATTATTTTGTATAAAATTTACATTAAAAAGACATCTTTATTATGTTTGAAAGGTTTATAAAGTACAAAAATATTATCTACAGTCTTTAAAACTTCTAGAATAAAAATCTGCTTACGTCTGCAGTATTTAAAAGCAGATCTGGTAATCCCAGCATTCCCCGGAGAATTCACCAAAATTCTCAAGGCATTTTATCGAAAACACAATCCGGATAAATGAAAATCAGAAATTAATAAGCACCAATCGGATAACTAGATTACTAATCATAATTACTAATCGATCATCAGAATCATACGATGTTCTGAGTAAGAATGAGTCTAAATTTAGATAATCTGATTCCGTTATCCGATAAACATATGTGATGATGTGGGATCATGCAAGCCACATGCGTCCACCAATCCTTCCATTCAACCTAAATCTGGAGCAACCAAACAATACCCTAATACGTTTTGATTATGATCTACTGATAAGAGACATGGATTGTTATAAAAAAATACTGTTTTACACCGTACAAATCCAAATTTTTTACAAAAATTTCTCAGATTTCCACAGATTTACATGTTTCTTACCGTATTTTTTCTTATCATCTCCATACCCATCATTTTACAGTACATTATCGAAAAGAATATGGAAAATCCAGAAAGGATCACAATTTTGACAAGATCTTCAAGCTTAGAAGTCGAACCTGATAACTTAACAGATGCTCCTCCATCATATCAGGACGCAGTTTCTAAATGCAACTTCTGGTATATATAAATCTAAAAATTAGATTCTTTAACTTTAAATTCTTGTAATTTTACAACAATAAAACTAAATTTTAATAAATTAAAATGCCTTTGGAATACGCAGAAGAAATTGAAATTACCCAAGAAGTTACAAGCTCTGATCAAGGTAAATTTTAATTATTTGTTAAATAACTTTATTCTTTTGTTAATAATTTATTTTTTAGAGTTGAGAAATTACTTAACAGAAGGAGTGACAACCGCACTTCAACGTTATGAAAATAGAATTAATAATCTTGAAAATACTATTCAAGAAGGAGTGATAACCACACTTCAACCATATGCAAATAGAATTAATAATCTTGAAAATACTATTCAAGATAATTCAGCTCTTCGAGAAAGAGTTAATTCTTTAGAAAAAAATAATAATTTTTTATTTTTTATTATTTTCTTTATCTTAATTTGTTTTGGTTTTTTTCTTTATTATACAAGAGATATTTATCATGAGAACTATCAACTTCACTCAGAACGAGTTGAAGTTATACAACAGAAAAAAATCTTTTTAAATAATTTAAAAATGTTTAAATTTAAATTTTTAGATTTTATGGATGAGTATATAGAATCTTTTAGTAAGGAAAATAAATAGCTTGAAGCTGTTTTCTGATTGATTTTCTCTGTTCACAATGTGTATGAAACTAAATTTTAGTCTCATACACATCTTGAACAGAGAAAATTACACTGTAATTTATATTTATTTTCTTTATTTCTAATAAAATTTATTGAAATTAAACCAAAATTTTAACTACATTATAAGAATTTGAATTGATTTTGCCTGTGTTTGTACGGTGATACAGGATGCCCGATCGATGATGTCATCGCCGATGACATCGTTAATTCAGCTCGATCCCAGTCTCGTCCTGAATCGCTGTTACAAACGGCGTCAAAATCGGTGCAATCATTTGTTATTAATCTCCCTCTCTCCCTTCTCTCTCTCTTCAGAATGTTGTGAGTTTCCTACGATATAGCAAACGCCTCGATGTTGTGATATTTTGCGAGCAAAGCTCGCAAAATCTAACTACACATCTCATTTTTGCCATATCTCAGAAACATTTTTTTAACAAATAAAATTTTATTTTGTTTTATTTTATTTTATTATTTATTTTTAATAAAAAAATACAATTATTCATCCACACTTGAAGCTTATTTGGATTGTTTGTAAAATTTTCTTTATTAAATTTGCGCTTGTTTATTGGAATATTTACACACTTGCGCCTTACATTCTTCCCAAGTGTCGTACTTGCGACCAACTTGAACTGCGTAATAACCTGAATCAGTCGATCAGTCGGTCGGTCGATTAATAACAAATGATTGCAATAGTGAGAGTTAGTACGATGTAAGGAAAACGAATGACCAAACAAAACACGGATTGGAGTCCCTCTCACCTTTTATTAATATTATTAATTAAAAATTAACTGAGTAATTTAAAGCCTTTATATATATTTTTATAATTATGGGATTAAGAAACCGGTTTTGAAAGAAGCCAAAAATAAACAGATTAAACGCGTGGAGAACCAATCAGAAATAACGATGACAAAGATGATTTATGAGATTTGCAAAGCAAAGTTTATTTAACGTTAAAAATTTTGACAGAGACAATCCCAATTCTTTTTTTGAATTTTACAAAAAAAACAAATATAAATAATATACAAAATAAAAAACAATGTCTTTTTTCAAGAAAATTGCTACCAGATTTAACAAAGTTGCAACTAGAGAAGTAGAACTGAATTTTGAAGGTTGGAATGAAAAAGAAGAAAATTGGCCAGAATATCAACAGGAAGAAGAAAATCCTTGGAACTGCGATGAAAAAGAAGAATCCACTTGGTCAATAAACAATGAAGAGGTTGAAGAACCAACCACCTCACTATCCATTGAACAAGAGAATCCTTCTGATGTGGTTGTTGGAAAGACCAATGATAACTATTATTTTGAATTTGGATTGCTGGTCTTGGTGTTGGTGTTAATGCCTTTTTCAATGGTATTAAGCTGGATTTGTTGCGCTCTATTGCTGTATAGAGCAAAATTCTTGTTAGCAAAATTGAGATTAGCAGACGGAGATTACGTTACTCTTCTTGACCCTCTCTCAATACGATACAGTCAGATGTCTATCAGAGATGTCTTTCAACATTCTAACAGACCCATCGAAGACACGATAAACCAATTATTGGAAGATGGAATTGATTGTTTAAAGAATATACCCGCTCTTGAAGTTTGTATTATCAATGAAATGTATCATTCTTCAGACAATCGAAGACTGTATTGCGTCAAAGAAGCAATCAAGAGAGGGTTAAAACTTGAAAAGATACCTGTCTTAATCAAAAGAGTAACAGATACGAATATCAAATATAAGTTAGAGGGGGCATATAAAATTGTTAAAAATAAAGATTTTAACAATATAGTTGTCTCTCCATACGCTAGAAATGGGAGAATAATTGACGATGAAGGGTTTTGGGAATATTGTATTTGACTGTATATTATTGTAATATATATTTAATTTTTGTAAATAAACATGTGATTTGAATAAAAAATTCTGGTACATTCCATGATTACGTTGTATAAATCTAAAATTGGTAATCCGATAGTGATGCATGTGCGATTACGTAAGTGGATGTGACACACGGTTGATCGTCAGTACAAATAGACCCAGATGCGCCCAATTTTGCGTTTCACCTTTCGTTCTTTCCCATGATGATTGCGTGTTAAGACTGGGAATACGAGTCTAAACCATGCTATTGCAGCATCTCTCGCAGTGTCAAACACGTAAGATATCCAAGTTTTTAAGAAATTTGGAGAAGGTACTCATCTTTTCACGTCTTCATGGGAAGGAGGAACGGTCAAATCTTTTTTTACATTCCTTCAAAAATCTTGGGAGAACGTACCAAGTATCCCAGTGCGATTCTTGCTAAAACGATGACCGAAGCTGCTGGTATCTCTTCGGTAGTTGGTCGTTTCGGGTAAACTTTCTCTGTAACTACTGGGCGTGGTCATGTCTTCTCGTACGTTTTGCGTGAGAGACAGAGATCCAGTACAGAAG